GAAGTAACCAGAGAAAAAGGTATACGGGAAAATAATCCACGTGAAAAGATGATTGGTAAGCACACAAAAGCGAGAACGCAAATTACTGAGATATTACTTTACGTTGAACCGCGGTGAACTAGGCGTGCGATAGAGGGATAAATAAAACTTCGTGAGTAGCGACGAAAGAAAAACGAGAGCTTTTCTTCCACGTGCGATGGAATGAAAATAAATGGCGCCAGCAGTAGCCATTTTGTTTGCAGAGAGAGGAAACACGGTGGGCTCGCGAGGTTAGGGGAGGATTCCACGGGGGCACAGCAAGCGGTATTGGTGTAGTGTGTGGTTACGGGCAGGCAAGTAACAGGCGGGACCGTGATTTCACACTAACGGGATTTGCATCTTTTATTCACACGGATTGAAGCATGCTTAATTGCAAGTTAATTGCAATTAAATTTTTTGGCACTTATTTCAGCGTTAATTTTAACCTTTTGATGCATTTCTTTGTATCATACATTATCATTTTCATACATTTTTGCGAACAAAATCGTACAAAACACAAGACGAAACGTCCGTTCAAGTTAGCACGAATATTAACAAAAACACACAAATATATTTAGCGTGAGTAAGGTAATCATACAATACATTTACACTAGAAAAAATAAGTGTGCAACTGCTTAACACGTGTGAGAACAAACTGCGAGTTGAATACTTGCGTATGCAACTCAGTAGTTATACGCCGGCATGTGTTCGACACGGTTGGTGTGCACTTGTAAGTAGAAGGTGTGTAAAACCTGTGTCGAACACTTCCTTTCATTGAACGCGCTTTGTGTTGGAAGTGCCCAATACAGAGGAGATGCACGCTTACAAGTTCCCAACTACCGAGTTCAACACTTTCAAGTGTACTACTTACGAAGTTGAACACTTGTAGTTGCACACTTAAGAGTGTTAAGCAGTTTTACACTTTGTATATCAGTAGTGTAACGTGTAAAGGTAGTGAGTCAAGTCAACCAGGCTGGAATAATACGCAATGCTGTAGAATTGCGTCTATTCATACAGTAAATTTTGTTGAAATAATGTTAACTCCTTATTTTTTGTTACTGGATCTTGTGAAGCTGCTCCCTACTATTTAGAACTGGGGAAAAAATGGCTGGCAATAACTGGGTAAGTAGTGGTGAAAGAAAGGATAGACCGCGAAGGGGGCAGAACAACGAAAGGCCCTGGCTGGTTTGGAGTTCGGTTGGATATCGCGGGAGGCGTCCTCATAACTCACCTATTGTGTGCTCAACGGCCTGGGAGTGACCGCTGTGCCCAGAGAGGTAGTGCGATGGGGCCGAGCCACTTTCCATGTCCCAGCTTTCCACCCGTAGCCACGCCCCGTATACTACGGCGTGGTGGGTGGAGGGTGGACAATCTCCGCCCCCCGCAAGGCTGCCCGCCTTTACTCCGTAACCCATCTCCTACTGTCACTGCACGCTTTTTGCGTGTCGATGTGGAGCAAAGAATTAGTTTGCATCGAAATTCCCGAAAATTATTCGCAAGTTGCAAATAATAAATAAGTTTGCTCTACGAACGTGTGAACATACAGGGTGGTCCACAGACCCCTTCCTTTATTTTGCTTATACTGTACCGCATGCAGGCGTGCGGGCAGGCTTGCCTACCGTCGGTCACCGCGGCGCCTTATGGCCCCGTGCCAGTATGCAACCCGTCCGCACGCCTGCATCCGGTACAGTATAAGCAAAATAAAGGAAGGGGTCTGTGGACCACCCTGTATTATTCACAATCAATTTGACCAACACTGACCGGTACTAGTTGAGAAGTCGCACCCAGCAAAAGATTACTTTGTGAGAAGAAAATCATGAATTTAACGAAATTTTCGATCAAAGGAAGAACAATTGTCGTCTTTTGTTCAACTTGACGATATTTTCGTTGTTTAAAATATAATTCAGTTTTTCCCAACGAAACTTTTTTCTTGGTGCACCCCAGCCCCTCTATTCCCTTGCTGCTTCTCTTAACCGCAGCCTCACCCCACCACAGACTCTCCTCTCGACTTATGGGTGCAGCTGTGGTCCCTCAGGGAGAGTTTAGTACCCGAGCTATTTATTAAAACTTTCCCGAGATTCCCTTCTTTTGACCTTCCTGCCCAGCCACCGGGCTGGGGGCAGCGACGTCGTCTCCGCCGCTTGTCGCGCTCTTGTGGAAATTTGCACTGGTTAAAAGAAAAGTCTCCTGGTTTAATCTCCTTTCCATAATTAATTAATTAAGTAGAGCGTCTGGTCGCGGTACACTCGGAAAACAGGGGCAGGCCATGAATTTGCACATCACGTGGTGTCTTACTAAAGATGCACACTTGTGTAACGTGCAAATTTTTGACGATTTGTCAACTTGTAAATTTTGAGTTCTATTCTATCAGTGGGAACTACAATGTTGTAGAGCTGCTATACTCTTCGGAAATATCGAAAGTTTGCGCACCAGTTAACGTATAATTTGACACCACAATGCGTCTGCATTTTCCAGACTTGAACTTATGCATCAATTGACATGCACAATTAAGCACTTGTTTTACTGGTGTACGTCGAAGACTTCGTTCTGTGTACTCCTGTCGTTCATTGTTGCATTTAGTTTTTGATTTGATCACTGGAAAAACATAGATGCTAACTCCTACCTTTGAAAGGCATTAAGCGCTTTCAAAGGCACTAAAACTTCCAAAGGCACAATTTTAGCACATTTTGGCCTGTTTGGTGCCTTTGAGAAGCACTAAACTTAAAATGTATGTAGTGCTCCGGGAAAGGCATGACTATAAGCACACCTTTGTTTTACCAGAGTAGTTAACCGTAAATACTAAATTAATGATAAAACGAATGAAATTCCTCACGAGGTCATCCATGATTGTACCAATACTACTCAAGCTTGCATATAACAGATTTTCTATTAAAAAACGTGTTACCCAGTTCAGAGAGCTCTCGTTAAGGACGGAGTGACTTTAATAACTTTGTGAAACTTCCAGCCGCAACCCTATAGGACAGAATACCGAA